CCCCCCGCCCCGCCCTGCAGGCGGTCCCTGCCCCCCAGGCCCAGAAACCACACAAAAGTCCTTTCCTCTTTTCTTCCATTAAAAAATAAGGTGTGTTATTCTGCGGTAGAAAACTTGGGACACACAGAAACGCCCTGGCAAGGACATGACCTCCCTGTCCCCCGCCCCTTCATCCCATCAGCCAGCCATAGCGCAGGGACCCTGCCCTGACCCCGGGATGACCTTGAACAAGTCACCGTCCCCTCCAGGGGCGTTGTCGGGTCCGCATGGGAGACCCGGGCTGCCTTGGGTTCCGGCTGCCAGGCGCCCTTTCACCTTCTGCTTTGGGGAGATGCAGGCCAGGCCCATCAGGCTGCAATCATGCAGGGCCCAGCCTCTTGACGGGATGCCTTCCCTGACCCTCCAGGACCCCAGGCATCTGCCAGAGTAGCCAGTCCTGGTCAGATCTGCCTGTACCTCCCTGGTCCCCGCAGGGTGGTCCCGGGTCAGCAGGAGGAACCCTGCCAGGGTCCTGCCTGAGCTCAGGGCCTGGTTGGCCTCAGCTCCCATTCTGGGAAGAGTGTATGGAACCCAGCAGCTCCCAGATTGCAACGAGACCCTCTGTGCCCACCTGGGGCTTCAGGGTGTGGTGGTCCCGGCTCAGCCTTGGGGCAGGGTGAGAGCTAAGGGGACCACCCTTAGCTGAGGACCACCCCAGTCGCTGGGAGGTGGGGTGCACAGTGGTGCCCTCCCCGGAGGAAGGGCCTCAGCCAGCGGCTGCAGAAGAGATGCTGATGCTTGGAGCTCCGCCCAGGAATGGCAGGAGAGGGGTGCTGGCTGTTCCCAGGGTGGCTGGCTCGGGGCCAGAGCCCTGGTCGGAATCCAGCCTGCCCCTCTAGTGGCCTCAGTTTCCTGGCCTTGTGAACTGCCTTTCTGGGTCAGTGCTGTGGGGCTCCCAGCCCACGGTCTGAGCCTGCTGGACTGAGGACCACAGTGCTGTTCCCATCCCCTGGGTGACCTTCCCCACCCTCCAAGTGGCTACACTGGCAGCTGGTCCCCACCTGCCCCTGCAAAGCCCCAGCCCAGGTCCTGGATGGTGGGGCCACCTCCACACTCAAGCTTTGCCCATCCATCTGTGCCAGGCCCAGGAGCCAGGGTGGGCCAGGGAGCACTATGGGGGCCTTGCAGAGCAGCTGCTTGGGATCCCAGGACCCACAGCAGGGCCAGGGATGGCAGCTGGGGAAGATCAAGACCTGGGGGAGAGCTGGGCAAGGTGGCTTATGCCTGTAATGCCAAGAACTTGGGAGGCTTGGTGGGAGGGTCACTTGAAGCTGGGAGTTCGAGGCTGCAGTGAGCTGTGACTGGACCACTGCACTCCAGCCTGGGCAACACAGCAAGACCTTGTCTCAAGAGAACAACAACAACAAAAGACCTGGGGGATGAACCAGAGCTGGCCAGGTGGAAACAGGCCCTGGCCCAAGCCCAGGCAGGGCTCTGGGGAGCAGAACTGGGTAAGTCCCTAGCTCGGTGTCACTGTCCCCAGCTGGGGTCAGCCCTGGGCCCAGCACCAGCTGCAGCCTCCCTCCTGGCTGTCCTCCGAGGCTCCGCCCATGCTGGGCCTCCCTGCCTGGCCCTGCCTCGGGCACGTTCACCCCAGACGGAGCTGTCGGACCTTATCCTGCCAGAACAACACCCACCCCCCATTGTTTCTCTGCTTTCCTGTTTTTCGTCTTGAGCGAGTCTGCCGGAAACAGATCCGGTGCCCAGGACAAGTGGTCTGAGGGGGCGAGACCAACCTGGGCCTGGAGGGCTCCCCCCACCGGAGCCATGCCCTCTGCTCCAGGCCCCCCAGGACCCCACTGCTACTGGAGCTCTGGGCCCTTCCCCAGCTGCTGGGGGTCCTCCCTCTGTAGCCCTGCCTGGGGCAGCCATCAGTGAGTGGATGCCAGGGAAGCAGGAGGCCAGGGCCCACCCCTCCTGAAAGGACCAGACAAATGACCTCAGCTGCCTGGACTGTGCCTTGCCCTCGTTGAGAAGCTGGTGGCCCCATTTCAGGGAGGAGTCCCCTGCTCACGGCCTGAACAGGGCTGCAGCCCACGACCTCTGACGGGGGCTCTGACTTGGGCAGGTGGGGGTGTGGCCAGGCGCTGCCAGGAGGAGGATGTGACCAGTGTGTGGCCTCTCCCTGGCCGCAGGTGGACAGGAGGCCACAGGGAGTGCTTGGAGCCAGCGGTGGGGCCTCTCTGAGGGGAAGCTGGCCGCCAAGCCTGGGCCCTTCACCCTTCAGCTGCAGGTCAGGATGTCTGAGCCCCTGCACAGGGCAAGGCCCCTCTGCTGGCCACTCCTGGACAGTGCCTGAGAGGCCTGAAATTTGCTAGGGGGCTGGGGAGAGGGAAGGCGGCACGCAGCTGTCCCTGGCTGTCACCCTTGGAAGCCCAGCTTGGAGGCCTGGATGGGGATGGATCGCCCAGCAGCCTGAGCCTGTGCTCTAGAACTCTTGCCTGAGCCTCCTTGTGCCAGCAGGGAAACCAAGGCAGAGGGGCTGAGGATGGCAGAGTGACCTGGAGCCCTCCCAAAAAGCTGGTTCCCAGACATCTGGGTCAGAGTTTTAGGCAGGGGCCAGGAGCTGTGTGATTACCTTTTTTTTTTTTTTTTTTTTGAGATGGAGTCTCGCTCTGTCACCCAGGCTGGAGTGCAGTGACGGGATCTCCGCTCACTGCAAGCTCCGCCTCCTGGGTTCAAGCGATTCTCCTGCCTCAGCCTCCCAAGTAGCTGGGATTACAGGCATGCGCCACCACGCCTAGCTAATTTTGTATTTTTAGTAGAGATGGCGTGTCTCCACGTTGGTCAGGCTGATCTCGAACTCCTGACCTCAGGTGATCTGCTCGCCTCGGCCTCCCAAAGTGCTGGGATTACAGGCGTGAGCCACCGTGCCTGGCCTTAATTTTTAACTGTGGTAAAATACATATAGCATAAAATGTATCATCTTAACCCTGTTTAAGTGCACAGTTTAATGGCACCAAATAAAGGATTCTCGTTATGCAGCCGTCACCTCTCTCCGTCCACAGAGCTCTCCAATTTCCCAAACTGAAGCTCTGTCCGCATCAAACGCACACTCCCAGTCACTTCCCAGCCCCCAGCTCCCTCCATTCTTCTTCCTGTGTCTATGGTTTTGGCGACTCTGGGGGCCTCGTGTAAGTGGGTCCTGCAGGATTCGCGCTTTGGTGACGGGTTCGTTTCACTGAGCCTCTTGTCCTGGCATTCCTCCCTGCTGGGTGAACGTCAGGATCTCCTTCCCTCTCAGAGCGCAGTCACTCCGCAGTGTGGATAGGACCGACGCAGCTGCTCTTCCATCCCCTGGCTGCGAACTCAAGGACTGCCCATCGCTGGGCTGTTGTGAACATCGGTGTCTGAGTCTGCGTCTTTTTTTTTTTTTGGCGGGGGGGGGGACAGGGTCTCGCTTTGTCACCCAGGTGGAGTGTAGTGTGCGGTCACAGCTCACTGCAGCTTCAACCTCCCGGGTTCAGTCAATCCTCCAGCCTCAGCCTCCCAAGTAGCTGGGACTACAGGCGTGAGTCACCATGCCCAGCTAATTTTTGTATTTTTAGTAGAGATGGGGTTTCGCCATGTTGCCCAGGCTGGTCTCGAACTCCTGAGCTCAAGCAAGCCACGCACCTCAGTCTCCCAAAGAGCTGGGATTACAGGATGAGCCCCCGCACCTAGCTAATTTTTGTATTTTTGTAGAGGCAGGGTTTCACTATGTTGCCCAGAATGGTCTCAAACTCCTGGGCTCAAGCAATCCGCCAGCCTCAGCCTCCCAGAGTGCTGGGTTTACAGGGTGAGCCACCGCGCCTGGCCCGCCTGCATCTCTTAAAGGCTTCCACGATGTGGCTGCGTTGGGCTCCTGGGGCCCCGTTCTCCAAACCTGGTTCTCTTTGCAGGCCTGGTCCGGCCGGAACTTCCCACCAATCTCCATTACAGCGGGAAAAACAGGGGCAGTGAGTGTCACTCGTGGTGGGCGCGCTCACCTTGTACAGAGGTGATGTTATGAAATGAGGTCAGGATAGGAACGCTTTGTAAAAAATATCTTTATTCGGCCAGTCGCGGTGGCTCACACCTGCAATCCCAGCACTTTGGGAGGCCGAGGCAGGTGGATCACCTGAAGTCAGGAGTTCAAGACCAGCCTGGCCAACATGGTGAAACCCCGTCTCTACTGAAAATAAAAAAATTAGCCAGGTGGTGTGGTGGTGCGTGCCTATAGTCCCAACTACTCAGGAGGCTGAGGCAGGAGAATCACTTGAACCCGGGAGGCAGAGGTTGCAGTGAGCCAAGATCGCGCCACTGCACTCCAGCATGGGGTACAGAGTCAGACTCCCTCTCAGAAAAAAAAAAATCTTCATTCAGCAGAGAAAAGAATTGGCCACCATGTAGTCCCCTGGTTTTGACATTTATTTGTACCTGCCCGTAACACTGAAAGTCTGGGCCGCGCCTGCCCCCACCTCCAGCCCCTGCAGCCCGTTATGTGACCCAGGAGAGGCAGAGCCAGGAGCGGGTGTCACTGAGCTGGGGGTGATTCTAGAAGATGGGGGCACCAGTGGGCCAAGGGGATGGCAGGGGAAGGCTGGGGTGGATCCAGAGGCCCTTCCCGTGGGAAGTGGGGTTGAGAGCACCCCGAGTGTGGGTGCCCCGAGGGCACCTCCTCATGTAGACCTTTCCCCTACAGGGTCGACTCCCAGGCCTCAGGGTCCGGTGTATCTTCCTGGCATGGCTGGGCATCTTTGCGGGCAGCTGGCTGGTATACGTGCACTACTCGTCCTACTCGGAGCGCTGTCGTGGCCACGTCTGCCAGGTGGTCATTGTAAGTGTTGCGTGTGTGGGCTGGGGACTGGGTTGTGCCCCCTTGCTGCCCTAGACGCTGAGGCACCAGGCCCCGGAGACACCTTCCTCCCCAGATCCAGGGCCCACAAGGCATGTGGGTTTCTAGGTGGGATCTGCAAAGCTGCCTCAGACTCGGTGTGGAGGATGGGGGTCCAGGGGAGGACAGGGGAGACATGGGGGTGGCTGCAGGGGCTCAGGGGAGAGAGAG